CAGTTGGTGGCAATTTCATTCGTCCACTGCTCAGGCCAAAAACTTGAGCGCTGCTTGGGCCAAAGACCTCGCACTTGTCCTGGATTACTTTCTGCCTTTCACAACCCACATCTGACCCATCAGGAAAATCTGAACACTTCCACAAAATTAAAATAAATAGTCCAACAGATAGCCAGTCACCTGAAAATTCTTTGATGTATGACATCAATTAATCAATCAGATATTTATTAACCTCTTTTTCATATTCTGTACTGAATTAAAATCAATGGCAGATAAAGGAGCCAAAGTGGAATTTTGAATTACAGTGTGGCTTTGTGTCACGTAGACCTGATTTCAAATGATGTGATTTTCCCACTTACTAGTTGTGTGATCTTAAACATGTTGCATGGTTTCTCTAAGATTCAGTTTCCTTATATATAATTGAGGAATAAATACCTTCTTTGGAGGATTTTGTAAAAGGTAACACTACGTCTGGCATGTAATATCATTTAATAAAGGGTAACTATTGTGCCGTTGTTCTTGCTCTTGATAAAAATAAAACAGGATAGTGATTGGCTTTGTCTCCCAAAGAAAATTCTTGGAAAAAGTAAAATTAAGGAAGAAATGATGTACTTGCTACCATGGCAACAGTGGCAGTAGAGATCTCGATGAGTCAGAAAGAAGTCTAGAGATTGCTTTAGTCTACTCCACAGTTTTGCCTAATATTGCCCTTGTTCCTATATTCTTGCAATCTTTCTAATTGTACTTATGGGATTATTAATGGAGTGTCCATCCATATAAATTAATGAGGTAGATGAAGCAATGACATCCTGTCATAGAACTTCAATGTGACTTCTTTAAACCAGGCTGATGACACATATTTCAGAACATGAGATAAACTTAACAAAATATAATGAAATTATTGAGTTGTAGAATTATAGAGTTCTAATAAACTAATATTTTTCTGTTAAAGGAAACAAAACAAAACTCAATCCTGAATTTCATACAATTTAATTTTTGTAATTTAAGCATAAAGAAGTTCATGGACTATCATCACAATTTATTTAAACTTTTGTGAAAAATGTGACTCAAGCAGAGAAACCAAAGTGAAAGACAATTTTAGTTCTGAAAACTCTACCTGTGTATGTATATATGTGTATGTCTTTATATGTACATACATGTGCATACAGACATACATATATGTATGTGTATAATACACACATATACATATATACACACATGTACATACATGCATATGTATAAAACTTTATGAGATTGTGTTAAAAAATACAACACATTACCATCAAGATGTGTATTAAAGCCAGATTTAATATTTTTGTCTTGCTGTAAATGAATGAAAGCTTGTAAATTTCAATGTACTTGAGTTTTTTTTTTTTTTTTTGGTCTACATGCCTACAAATCTTAAGGATTATAAAGATTGTCTTGATTTATTTGGGACACCCTCAGTGAACGGTTGGTTAGCTAAAGAAATCTCTTGGGCTTGGAAGAAAATCTCTGAGGAATTAGAAGTTTCTTTTTATTAGGATCTCTAATCCGAGTTCTTACTGCTAGAACTGATGACAAACTGTTGGATAGAGCTTCTCATTGGTGTACTACAAAATATAGTCTTTTCCCTCAGTTCACCTGCCCTTGATTTCTGTTCTAACTGTAACAGGTGTCCGGCACATCGTGGATCCTCAATAAGGATTTGTTGAATAAATGGGAGAGTGAATAAGTGAATGAATGAGCCCTACAGTCTTGTGCACAGCCAGCTATGACTGTCAGGAAGTAGGAGACTCAGAAGCAGGATGTAAAAGTAAACTTAGGATTTTGACTGTCTACACGGGGTCATGTTTGCTGCATCTTATAGAACTTGCGCTAAAAGATGAGGATACAGATATAGATAGAGGTGCAAAATAATATATATTTAGATAGATAGATAGATAGATAGATAGATAGCTGGTAATATATACTTAAATAGCTCCCATATGCCATCCATATGGATTCACTATGATGTATTGCCCATCTGGGCTGCAAATTTCACTCCATCTGGCATGACTTCTAACTGAATGCTTGGGTAGAAAATTCCTTGTTATCCTATAGTGCTATGGTGTAAATTGTAGTAATATCTCTCCATTCTCCTCTCCTCCCCCTCTGCCTCCCCTTTTTTCTTTCCCTTTCTCTCTCTCTCTTTCCTAGTCTTCATCTAGTGTGGCACTTTTCCCTTGAGCATTTATCAGAAACCAACAGAAAATAAGAATCCCTTTTCAGTGTATTCCTTTAATTCCCCAAATTATTATCACTCTAGCAAATTTTTGACCTTTTTATCCAGTACCCAAAAATTCATGAAAGGAAAACTATATTTAATAGCTTGTCTTGATACAGAATATATGTAATACTTATTTGTTAAAAAAAATCATGTTGAAGGGATATAAAAAATATTTGAGCTTAATCTTCCTGACAGGATATGAAATAGTGGGTTCTAAAGTATTTTTTTGAACTTCTTATAAAACCAAGTTGATAACATATATTTCAGAAGGCTTAGGAGTAATTATTCCCAGAGGCAGAAAGCTGTATTAGGTGACTTCTGGGAATCTTCTCTGTAAGTCTATTAAAAACAAGTGTCTGGCTTCAGGACTTTTATTTTACCCATTTTTAAGAAAGTGCAATTTAGTCATCCTTTTACGTTTTCATTTTCAGTTCCTTTCTATAAAATTTCAAGTAGTTGAGAGAGTAGGTATTAAACTTTCTAGAGGTCATATTCTTAATTTATTTCTCTTGGTAAAAGATACATCTTGAGAAATTTTTGGAGGTGGACTGCGTAGCAATTGAAGTGAATATATTATTTATGCTTTGTGCAGTAGATGTTGCCTGGAAACCAATGGCTACTACCACGAACACATTAAATTTTATTTCACATAGTAATATTGTACTATATATTTTTTACTTTTGAGATAATACTTAAAATGGTCTTATCAATCAAAAGCAATCAAACTAAGAATGAAGTTTCTTGACAAGTCAAAATAATCTTCTACAGCTGTCTGGAAAACTAAAGAAAGATGTCAAAATATACTAAACAAAAGCATGAAAATATGACAGTACAATTCATATGTTTATTAAGGACAAGAATGTTCTAATTTGATTTAATTTCATAGAAATAGACGGTCCACCAGATTAAGTCTCTTTACTAATTTAACTTGAGAAAATGTCCGTATATTAAAAAACACATCTGGTACAGTTACCCCTTATTCCCTGAAATGTTTTCAGCCATATTTATCCAGACATTCCATGCCATCTCATATCTTTTCGCTCATTGATCCTTCTCTTCAGAAAGCCTTCAGCCACCTGCTTTTGTCAGGGTCACTCTGATATAACCCTTGAGTTAGGTGCTCAGATGTATTTACTTAATCTCCTTTAGGTTGCCCGTTATTATCACTTACTAAACTGCATTTCAGTTGTCTTGCTAGTTTACTTCTTATTAATTGATATCTCACCCACCGCATTTAAAGTTCCTTGAGGACAGAGACTGTGTCTTTTGTAATTATGACACCAGGGCCTGGAAACAGGACCAGCCCTCTAAAACCACAGTGGCCAAGGCAGGATTCTATATCCTTAGCAGTTTTCAGACCTGTTCACCACCTTCCCTATCGCCACCAGGCAGAGAGGAAAGTTGAGATGTCTCCAAATAGACCTTCAGAAAAATGGAATAATGCCATTATCATAAATAGCCTAGGTAGGAAAAAAAATGTTTGGAGAAGAATGTATACTTTGGCAATTTCAACAGCATTTAGAATAGAGCACTGTACTTAAAATAGTTGTATAGAAATACCATTTCTACCTCCTGCATCTTTCAGCATTAATTCATACTACTTTTCTCCCCTCCCCACAAAGGGAATACGAAAAGAAAAAAAGACGTGTATTCTTATTGGTCAAAATGCTTCAGAGTTGCTAGCTAAAATAGTATGATGGTTGATGCAAAGTCAGCAAACATATGAGAATATTCCAGGAATATGTAATATTATACCAGAAATATTTGATTTCTTGGCTCCCCTACAATAATAATAAGAAATATAATGAATTGTCTGGTCTAAAGTATGTCAGAATCAATTTACAGGTAAGCATCAAAGTACGTGGAGGTTATATTTGCACTATAATAATCTATTTGGCAAACAAATTTTTTGTTTAAAACCTGGATTCCCAAGAAGCTTCAGGTTTGTTATTAAGACATTATTTCCACTCACAGCTCTTTGGGGAGCACGAGTTGAGTGTCTCCATTAACCACAGAAGAAGTATGATCCCCAAAGGTATCTCCAAGTGGGAAGAACGAAAAGTTTTTACGCATATCACTGGTTACCACAGCTAGTGAGACTGGATAGTTATTTTATTTGACAATCATATGAATGGGTCTCTTTGGGCTAAGAAATCAGAAAGGAAAAAGATTATTTTGAAAAAGCAAATAGTGTGGTTGCTTAAATAATTATGGAAAAAGAAAACGATTTTTCAAGTTAGTTGCAGTGATAGTTAGATTTATAATTAAAGAGACTGTTTTGGCAAATAACAGGTTATTTATACAGGAGGAAAAACATTTTTTTAAAAAATAATCATTTGTGCTCAAAACACAAAAGGATGGGAGCACGTCAAAGGTAAACAGGAGCCAACCTGAAGGAGCTCCCAGTGACCAAAGCTAGGACAATTTGAGTATCAAAATATATTATACTGGGGGCCTGCCCTGTGGTGCAGCAGTTAAGTTCGCACGTTCTGCTTTGGCGGCCCGGGAGTTAGCCAGTTCTTATCCCGGGTGCAGACATGGCACTGCTTGTCAAGCCATGCTGTGGTAGGCGTCCCACATATAAAGTAGAGGAAGTTGGGCACGGATGTTAGCTCAGGGCCATTCTTTCTCAGCAAAAAGAGGAGGATTGGCAGCAGATGTTAGCTCAGAACTAATCTTCCTGAAATACGTATATATATATATATATGATATTGTATTATAATGCAAAGTATGAAATAAATATATCTGAGTCCATACTGATTTAAATAAATGATCTAAAAAATAATCAGAGAAGAGACAAATCTTCTGTACAGCAGAATTCCATTTAATATCTAGATACTCCCCTATCTGGGAGTCAAAGCTTAATTTCACCCTATCACCTCTTTGAGGGTGTACTAACTTCCAAAGAAGAGAGTATGGAAAGCGAAAAATAGTAACTTTACAGTAGAGAACCTGGCAAACACGATGTTAACCCAGTGATGACGGTTAATGTCACTAGAGATATGTGGCTCTCATGTGCCCCCAGTGTGATGTGATGAGGTAGCTTCACTAATATGATATGATGAGAAGGACACTTCACCTCGGTGGTATTCTCCCCCAAAACCCACAGGCCTAGTCTTATCATCAGGAAAATATCAGACAGTCTATTATGATCATGGAAAACAAGGACAAGTGGAGAAGGTGTCACAGACCAGTGGTACTGGGGAGACATGGAAACTAAGTAAATGTGGAACCCTGGATTAGAGCCTAGAACAGAAAGGGGACATTAATGGAAATACTGGTGAAATCCAAGTAGAGTCTATAGTTTAGTTAATGATTAGTACCAATATCAGGTCCTCAGTTTTGACAAATGTACCATAGTAATGTAAGATGTTAACATTTTGGGAAACTGGGTAAGGGGTATATGATATTATAAATTTGAATCATAACTGGAGAATCAAAAGTATAATGAATAATAATTTAAGTTTTAAGAGCCTATGACCACTATATTCCTTTTATAGCCTTCAAGTTCAAAGCAGGTGGTTCCTGGGTCTTGATTATGTATGTATAACTATGTCATCTTAGATATATTTACAAAGACAACACTTTGGCTTATTTTCCTCTTTGGCCCCTGAAGTCTCCACCTTTGAACCATGTGTAAATGGAACATTTATTTTGACTTCTAGAAAATGTAAAGTAATCTGAATATGATCTTTTATACAGACTAATTTGTGTTATAAGACATAGAGAAATGAACATGCTTTGCAACACAACCTACATGTTTACAATTAATATTTTGGATCTCGAGTCAAAAATCTTCATATGTGTAAAAGATGTTTCATTAACTGTTTTCTATATTTGAGAGTTTTTTAAAAAAACATATTCATTGTACTTTTTTAGGCATTGATTGTGAAACAATGATTTTTTTAGTTAAGATGGAGAAAGAAGAACAATGATGATGCTCATATCATAATGTTCTTAGGAATTAGGGAAAGGAGAAATATTTGGTATATTTTATTTGGTAATATTCCTAATATTATACAGCCTTACTGAATTGTATGCCTTGTGCCTCAATGTCCTAGCCAGCTATAATAGGCTTTGATCTATAAATTAGAAAAGAACTCTTTACTTTAAAAAACAAGGGCTTTGTAAAAAAATTTAAAATCTTCTTGAAAAGACTGGGAGTAACAAAGAGACTTGGAAACATACAGAAATAGGAGTGCTGGAGCAATAATTTGTTACTACATAGCAGCTTTAAACGGTATATGAACCATGCTTCAGGTTAGTCAGAAGAGGTCCTCTGAATTACACTGTGCACGCTTCCCTGAAATGAAACTGTATGTTATTGGTTAACCAGGATGTTTAGCATAATCACTCTGCTAGACTGTGGTGGAGGGAGGTGATTATCACTGAGAACAGATGGGCAGGTCCACAGCACTGCCAGATTCTGCACAAGCTCCATTTATTGTTGGTTCTTGCTTTTTTCCTTATGTGTTTTAAAATTCTTTTTTAACATTGTACCTTCTAACGAACTGGCTGCACAAAAGGTCGGTGGCTGATGACCTTTCAGCTGAGATTTCAAACGTAGGAGAAAGATTCAAAATGCTGTCACTGTGTATCTAAGGAGGATGGGGCAGGTTGCATTTTCCCCTCTAGCCTCCCTCAGTGCGTGCACGGATTTATCTGTACGCTAAGCTCTCTGCTCTGCATCTGTAGCTCCTTGTGGATTATATTGTCTCTGTGATCAGAAATGATTTTCTCGGATATGAACACCGTTTCTGGCTCCCCCAAAGTGCATCCTCCAAATGGGACCCGGTTTTACACTTTTCAAGTAAGTGTGCTTTAAATGGCTTCAGTACTTAGGAAGTTAATATATGGTCAAACTTTTAATAAAGGGAAATATAAGGAAAGGAAAATCGCAAAGTGTGAAAGTATTAAAGAGGATGTAAGAAATGCATAGTGGGCATGTCAGTTTAATCTATTTTTTAAATATGGAAATAAGACGGCATTAGGAGTCTACGTGAATTCAAGCAAGATAATAGTGAGCACTTACTTTTCACAGGGATTTTAAGATTTACCTCAGTATCATCTTTGAGGGTTTATGACATGTATCTCTTGGTGTTATTTATGGCTATAATATTGTGAACATTATGGAGTTACTTCCATTATATTTCACCCAGAGAGCGTAGAATTAAAAGACATTTTGTGGAACTTTGCAAACTATGTCCTCTGGGCTTAAAAAAATGTTTTGTATTTCATATACATAGCTTAACACAATTCCTTTTATTTAATTTGATTATGTGTGCAGTATACAAGCGATCAATAATACAGGAGGCTTAAGTACCACGTTTAGTATTCTTTTCAATTTGAGGTAAAGTAGAAACTCATTAAGATGGAAGATTTTCTGTGTTATCAAAAAGTCAAAATGATTTATAATATAAATGTAAATGTGAAGTGCAAAGCTGTTACCTGCTAATTGTATTTCAATTGCCTATGAATAAATCAACCATCAATCTAGAAAAATGGTTAAGTCTAAACTAAATCAGGGTCTACCTCATTTTTATCCTTAAATTGCATCTTTCAGTACTAAGGTTTACTTTCTAATTCAGTCACATCATCATTACGTGAAAAGGGAAAATGAACCTCTTCTCTCTGTATATTTTACATTATGGGAATATAAACTGCCTGGCATTTAATTATTTTAGCTATATAGTTATAATGTTCTGAAAAAAATAAAGACCTAGAGAATTAATATAGTAGAGGCATTCAGAATTATTTTAAAAAGGGGCTCTGAATAAATGCACATCTGATTTATTAAAGCCTCTTGCCTTTGCAAACTATAAGCAGTAGATATAATTTCTCTCTCTCCCCTTTTTATACTTCTATTTTTAATCCTGCCGCCTCTCTTGCTTTACACTGATGTCTACTGATAGTGCAAGTCTGTGCTGTTACAGAATATATTCGCTTCCCAGTGGCGATCTGCTTTTTGTGGCAGTGACTCAAAATGCAAGTGCCCTGGGGCTGCTCTACAGAATTATTACTTTTTTTTTTCCTCCATGCACTGAGATATAAACTGTCTTTACAATATCCTGTAGCTGGCTCTCTGGGGCCACTTTTGACATTAGGTATTCTACTTCAGTCTCTTAAAGTTTAAGGGTCAGTAAATCCCATACGCTCGGTCATGACATAGGCTTTTTACAATTCCTTTAGTAAAGATCTTGCTGACACCTTTCTTGGTAGGTGATTTTCTTTGAAAATACATTGGAATGATTTTTAACAGTTCATTTTTTGGTTGATGTTATAACAATTCATTTAAAAACTCTAATATTTCAGGTAAAATGGAAATGGCAAAAATGAACTCTATTCTCCTACATTTTTAATCTCATAAAATGATATTTCATCTTGACATTTATGATAACAATGTGTATTTAACTTTTGGTTGCTATTTTTTGTTTTTGTTTTTGGTGGAAGAGAAGGAAGAAAGAAAGATGGTTTTTAAAGCATGGTCGTAAAGCTTTATAAAAGTTGACTCTGCTTTTATTTTCAAAGGGCAGAATTAAACATAATTATTTTTCTTATTTATGTACATTAACCTATTGTAAGGCAATGTGTTTTCTTGGGTTGAAATACTGTTATGAGAAATGAGATGCTGTAAATGTAACAGACCCTTTCTCAAAAAAATGTGTCTTGTGAAAATGATTAGTTAAATTTTCAAAAGTGGTTCTCATTATAGAATGGCATAAATGCATTTCTGAAATGATTCCACATCAAGGAGTTGAGATTTTAATGCTCACTTTCTTAAAATTATTCTAGCACCAGTTAACATATGCAAAAATATTTAAGATAGCTTAGCATGAATAATACTGAATTTCAGTTCCATCTTCTCATTAAATGTTCAAGCTATCCTGCCATTTTTGCTGAAATTGTACATTATCAAATTTTAAGAGTAAGATTTAGAATGTATGTAACCTGAACAGTTCAAAGGTAAAAAGGGAACAAAAGTGGATGTTCCAATTACAAGACTTTTGTTTTCATTGCATTTTAATTTAGCTAAATAAATTCATACTTCTACACACACAAGCAAATACTGTTTCTGTATAGATTATCTAACACTTATTCTTATGTGTGAGATCTCACTTCTGTGTTACTATGAATATATTTGTATCTGCATTTTTCTATTCAAAGGTGCCTGGACTCTGGAAGATGCCAACACCCAATTTGCACTGTATGTTTAACCAATCACTTGTCACCAAAAATTGAGTTCTTGAGTGTAGTTGCCTAAAATGCCCTTTGACTGACAAAAAATAAGATTAAATGCTACTATAGGAAAAGATTAATTATAATATTTGGATTAGAACGGTGAACATATGAGGCTCAAATATACACAAATAGGAAACCTACTTTAAAACAAAATTAAATGGATATACATGTGAATATATGATATATATATATATATATATATGAATGCAGTAAATTCTCCTTAATTTTATGTCTATAGAAATGATATCCCAACATGATTTTACATTTAACTCTATTTTTGCAAATAAAACCATCTATATGTTTTACTAAGCCTCTAGATTGGCTAATCATAACTTAATGTGTTAATCCTTTCTGAGGTGTTGGTGGCCAAGTTGCTATCCCTCATTTCATAGAGATTAAATAGCTTCACCTAGTGGTTTTCAAACTGTGTCTGCACAGCCCAAAGGTTTCATGGGAGTTTGTCTGTAGTTGCTAGAGACTGTAGAGAAGAGGAACGTGCTCTTGAGGTCTTAATAATTTCTTATTCTGCATTTACCTCTTTCATTCATTGGAGCTCCACGCAAGCTTTCATGAGCAACAACATTAACAAAGGTTGTGCTACTATCAAAAGCAAAACAAAAGGAAGTTGGCAAACCACTTCCTCAAACCAAAGGAATTCATTTCTGACAGAAGAGATTTTCTCCATTGAACCCACAGAGGCATTATTTCTATTTAGAATACATTTCTTTGCTATTTAATCCTGGCATTAATAACATTAGCTACCAGGAATGTGTGTAAAAGTGGCTTGACTCTTGTCCGCTGGTACCCACTGAAAACAAGAGAAAGCTTTCATTACAAAGTGTGGAAACATCATAATCTGCCATTTCCATGTTTAAAATACTTCCTGTAACCCCTGTCCTTAAAGGAGAAAGTTCATCTCCCTAGCTTGTCATAGAAAGCCTTTCGTGGTCTAGAGCTCATGCAACACACTGCTTTACTTGATTTTCCGGAAAGTTATCTGTATGCTTCTGTTGTCTTTGCCTCCTCACTGAAGCTGCCCATTGGAACATTGTTTTTAAAGACTCATCTCAAATGCCACCTCCCCTGGGAAGGCTTCACTCATTTACCTCATTCCTGCATGCTGTATGAAGGGAATTTCTTTGATCCTTTGCCTGCTTATACAACTATAGAAGCACTTACTATGTTTTGTTTTAATCCCTAAGAACATTTTATCAATGTGTGCCCCTAGCACATGAATAATGCTAACATCTCTGTTTCATAAGCTTCATATATTTGAAGGTAAATGATTAAAGTATAAAAACTCAACAGGATAAGCAACAAATTATTCTTTTAACTATATAAGCAGTTGGTGAGGCATAACAATATAGAATTAGAGAAAACATCTAAAAATATATAAGGGTAAATTTGTTTAATACTAAGCCTTTGTGTACCTCTATTAGATTCTTCAAAATAGTTAACAGTTAACCTGAGTGATCTAGGAAAAGGTTTAATTTTGTTGTTGTTAAGATATATTTCTATGTTAGCTAGACAAAACCTTTTTGAGACTTTTTTCTTTATACCTTTTTACTCTTTCTTATTAATTGGGACTTTTTCATATTTTATCAAAAGAACTTTAAAATTTAATTAATACACATTTTCCCATTTAGCAGATATGATTAATACTTGAAATATGTAGAAGACTAGTAGGAAGCTGGAAATCTCAATTGCGTGAAGAATTTCATTCAAAAAATATTACTGATAATTAGTATGGGGCACCATATCTTTGTGATCAAATGAGGTTGCGATAATTCTGGGTTTTCAACTAATAACTCCATTTTTTATATTCTATCATTTTGGTACTGCCAGGAGTTCACCATTATTTTTCTATTATTCGGGGAACATTATAACTTCTCACTGTTGATAATTTTAAAATGTGTTGGAAATATCTATCAGAATGTTTGTCGCATGTTATGTATTAAAAAAGAAAAAATAATGAAGGCAAAGTAGGCCTATGGAGATGATAAGAAAGACAGACCCCTTGGCTACTGGGTTACATGGTAATATAGGCAGATGTTCACAGCTAAAGGAGAAAATTGAGGGTTTTCTCTGTCGCCCAGTTGTATGCAGTCCTGATCATGAGTGGTAGAGATAAGACAACAGGTGTTTCAATCAGGTGGACCAACATGCTCAAAGCTACTTACCCGTGTCTGGGAAAGGCAGAGTTTAACACAACTGGGACATAAGCTGGAGTTAGGAAATGGCTAAAAGTAAAAGTAAAGAATATAAAGATAGGTTTGAATATAAAGTCCAGATCCTCAGGATCTTGAATTTGATATTTAAAGAGTTTCAGTGAGCAGTGACTGGCTCGGATTTGCTGTTTAGTTAAAATATTGGATTATACTTTGGGTGGGTGATGGCACTGGAGCACAGAGAACTATTTAGTAGCTTTCCAAAAATCCAGGTGAATTGTCGTGATTTCCCTCCTTTACGGAGGAAAAAACTGATGCTCGCAAGAGGTGCCCATATAGTTGTTGATAATGCAGAGAGTAATTAATGTAGGTTCTGTCTGAATCCAGGGTTATGGAACCCAAA